GAGAATTATCTACAGGCAGTGCGATACTTCGGTATTGTTTATTGCAGCGTTGAGTTAATTATACTTCCTCACGCATTATAGTGCCGTTTATTTGTCGCTTGTTCATACAATCTTAGGTGTGTTTGTTAGGATTTGTTATATTTCAGATTGAAGGAAGGCTTCTCTCTGTTTCGTTTGTTTTCGCTCTTTTACGGGTGTGAGATGTACGCTGTACATCTAGTGTGCGTGCTCGTGCGTGTGTGTTGTATAGCACGAGCCCGCAACCGTTTCGGCCCTGGACTGCGGCAGGGCGCTTGAGTCAGACAGAGCGCCCTGTGATAATGATATTCTCTTTCATAATCAGTGTTGTATTCATCGCAGTCAAAGACTTCGCGGGCTTTGATAAGTTCATAGGCGGGGGCGAGGAGGGGGTTTGGGCTGGAGGGGCGGTGGTCGAGGGCGAGGCGAGGGAACACCGGCCAGGGCGGGCGAAACCGAGGGCACGCTCCGCGCTCTCCGATCTCGGGGTGTCGCGCTCCCTCACTTGCCCCGTCGGCACGCCCGCTCGCCAGCGCGTGCGCTGTTGCCGCCCGCGCGCGGAGGCCCGACCGGCCCGCGATCGGGAGGCGGCGGAGCGTGCTCGTGCGGCCGCGTCCCCTGCCGCGGAACCGCCACCACGCGGCATCACGCGAGTGCGAACATGGTCTGTCAGGGTCGGACCACGCACGGCGGAGTCATCGCCGACGCCAGGTGCGAGGATGCGGACGGCTGGGACGTTCTGATCGTGGGACCGCTCCAGAGCCGCAGAATTTCGGCGCCCCGCGCGCGCGTCCTCTCCTGCGCCGCCTGGCTTCCCGGCCCCGCTGACGCCCACGCGCGGTCAGCGGGTGCTCTCGGGTCAGCTGTGCCGCTTCACGGGGCTGACCTCCCACTGTTCATCCGCTGATCGTGCTTTTCGGCGCGTCGGAGGGGAACTTGCGCGCGCGTCCTCTAACCCCGCGCCTCTTACCTGCCCTGGGGGTCATGCGATGGGCCGCGCGTCTACATGCGCCCACCGGTGGCTCCAGACCGCGTTTGTTCCCCGCAACAATGTGTGTGTGTGTGTGTGTGTAGCGGTGGCGCCCACATTGCACGTTGACCACGCGCGCGCCGTCCACCACCCATGGATTTGCCCGTGCTGCCCACCACCCATGTGCGCCACCGCGTGAAGCGTTGGCTGTAGCGGTCGCCCGCGGTCAGCCTTCTGTCTGGGCTTTATGCCGCGAGCGCGCGTTTTTTTCGCGCTGGTTGCAGTTTCGCGGCGTTTTTGGAGCCACAGCTCGCCCAGATGGACACCAAATTCGGCGTCCCCGAACCGCTTTCGGTCGGCGCCCACGGCGGCTGCAGGGCCTGGGAAGCTGGTGGTGCTTCCTCGCCGCGCCTCTCCGGTCTGATCCCGACATCGAGCTCGAATCGGCGACGCCGCTCCACTTGCGTGTTGACAAGGGAAGGGCAGCGTGGGGGAGATGCCGCTCGCGAACTTCGACGCGTTGGGCTCGCGGTGGTTCGACCTCACGCAGCCGTTGGGCCTCGCGGGATCGGTGGAGCAGGCATTCGGGATGAAGACGGCGCTTGGCGCGGCTTCGATGGTGGCGACGGCGGCGGAGGCGCATGCGCATGCCTCAGGGTGCAACGTGGGCGTGGTCTACGGCCTGTCGGACACCAGCACGAAGTCTGTTTCTCCAGAGCACGAAATCATGCCAGAGCTCGAGATCAGCCAAATCACGAGACGATGCCAGAGCACGAGAAGAAACCGGAACTCGGGGCCATAACTCGAGACGCATCCAGAGCAAAACAACATGTCATAACATGAGACGAAGCCAGAACACGAGAAGATGCCAGAGCACGGAACGACGCCAGAATGCGAAAATATACCAGAGCGCGAGACCAACACATCCCCGACGAAGCGCGGGGGTGACCGCGTTCCCGTCCTCCTGACGTGCAGCCCACGCCGGCGTAGGTCAGGAACAGCTTGGGGTCTGCCTACGCGTCCTGGGGCTGGTCAAGCGGTGGGTGGACTAGGGCATCCCGCCGAACGAGACATACACTCGCCTGCAATCGCAGGCGAAGGCCTGCCACTCGCACTGGGTTCGAGATCAAGATGAGGCCATGTTGCAGCGTGGCGTGGTCTTTGCCAGCGCAGCGGTACGGATGGTGGGGAAGGGTATCGTCGCCGTGGGGCCGCCGTGCGGCGGCGGTAACCTTGCGGCTTTCGCAGTCTGCCGTCGAGTGCCTGGTGCTGAGGTGGTTCTTGCGGTCGTACTTCAGCCGACATTTACGCAGTCGTGCTCCGCGGTGCGATGTTCTTCTGCTGCCGCCTGAGTTTCTCAGCGTTTCTTGCCATTGCTCTGGGCCTCATCTTCGAGCCGTTTTCGGGGCCTCCTTCTACATGGGGGTACCGGGTATTTTCTTCGTCTTCGTCTCGGTTTCCTCGCTCCTCCTCCTCCTCTCCCTCCTTCCGTTTTCCACTCGCGTTCAGGGGGTGATATTTTTGGCCGTTCCTGGCCTTGGGGGTGATATGTGGTTGCAGCGCATTCGCTTTCCCCCACGCCTCGGCATGTCGCCTGATCTTGCCTATTGCAGGTCGGGTTGTGTAGCATTCTTGATTCGCCTGGCGACCTTTGGATTCGCATTGTTTTTGCCGCAGTGTTGATTCGATCGGGTTGGTCGTGTGCTATGTGAGGGGGGCAAGTATTTTTCAAGCATATTTTCTCATGGTGCTCGACGTGCAGTAGTCTTCAACCTCCAGTTACCCTGGGAGCTCTTCCGCGGCCATCCGGAAGCTTCGAGAGCAAAAGCTCGAGGGACGGAGGCGTCTTCGACACCGGGGCGCGCCGCCTCTGCTCCAGCGTCAGAGGCGCGGCCGCAGACGACCGTGGATCCCGAGGTGGAGGTGTCCCAGGCATTCTGAGCTTCAACTCGTTCGATGCGTGGACCCCCAGAAGTCTGGATCACTTCCATAGGGCCAGCTTTTCATCTGTATTTTTTTGTTTTGACGGTTCCAGGGCTCGCTGAGGGCCCCGGAGGCAGAACATAATACAAAAACGTCCGCTCCAATTTCTTCGGATTCTCAGATCTCTGGAGAGTTGGAGCCCCCTCCCCCGCCGCCCAGGTCCACTAGCCTCTCCGCAGATGCGGCGCCGCCCATGCTGCTCGCGGATGCCGATCTCGAGGATGGCAGGGGCGATCCCCCAGAGCAGGCCGAGGCCGCAGAGGACGCCCTCGATTGCCGCAGCTCACCCCCGCGCGCACGCGTCGAGGAGATGCACCGTTCAGTTTCTTGTTGGGCGGCGTCCCGACCCAGAGATCCGAGGCTCCGAAACGATTGGCACGGTCGGATTTGGGGCATTTTCGGCTTCTGGGGGCCCTCAACGGGCCCCGGGACCGTCAAACAAGGACTCAAGATAAAAAGCTGGCCTGGTCTAGATGTCTGGGGGTCCACGCATGGAACAAAAGTTGGAGCACTGGAAGTCCAGGGGGGGGGGAAGTGAGAGGGGGCAGGCTTTCTGAGAAGGCGGCGGGGCTTCGGAGAGGGCAGACAGTTTTTCAGAGGACTGGTGGCCTTCTGAGCCTTGTGAGGAGGCCCACTCCCTCTGCCTTCCCTCCTGGGCGTGACGCCGATTTGTTTCGAGAGACGCAGCCTCTCTGCGTCTCTCTGCTCCTCTCAGAGGGGCCCCTCTCAGAGGGGCCCACCTCTCACCTCCTCAGAGTCCATCGGCTACTCGTAAGAGTGTCCTTTCGCCAGAGTGACCCTGGCGCTTGGTCGCTTGGATCTGGCTTGCCCCGCGGCCCCCTCTATAAATCTGCCGCTTCAGAGGTCTCTCTTGCCCATGGTCGCTCTTGCGTGCAGCAGAGTCCATCCTCCTCCTCCTCCTCCTCCTCCATCGTCCTCCTCCTCCAGCGTCCTCCTCCTTCTCCTCGTCTTTCCACTCTCTGGGCCAGCGTGCTAGTGCTGGGTTCCATCACGGATGACGGGGTGGGAGGAGGGGTGGCGCAGTATTTTTTCCCAAGCTCCTCTCCCGACCAGACTCGTCCTAGGGTGAGGAGGAGGAGGAGGAGGAGGAGGAGGAGGAGGAGGAAGTGGAGGAGGAGGAGGAGGAGGAGGAGGAGGAGGAGGAGTAGAGATGGGGCATGGAGGACGGGAGCGGGATAATGGAGGAGAGGCACGTGAAAGGGTGGATGGCGGATGTGGCCGTTTGGCGGCGACTACGATCCCAACAATTCGCAGTAGGTGTGCCAGATTCCCTGGCGCCGCCCGCATCGCCCAGCTGAATGGTTTCAGCTTGATGATTCCTCAGATGCTTGTGTATTCTTGGTCAGTACTTATCTTAAGGCTTGAATTCAGCTTAGGCGTATGATTGCTTTATCCGATCACCAGCATCGTTTTAGCGTTCCTTTTTGGCCCATACATATCCAAGGTTGGCTTCAAGTAGCTCGGACTGATCTAGTTTGGCCTTGTCTATCTGTGCCTAGCCCAGCGGAGCGTATATGTGCCTAGCCCAGCGGAGCGATAGCGTAGGCGATGTTTCAGCTGCAGACTGCTTCGTCTACAGTTTCGCTTGGCCTCGGCTCAGCTTCGCTTTTGTTCATGATCCGCTCCAGTCTAAGGCAGCAGTAGCTCGCGACTCATTCTTGTAGCCTCAGCAATTGTTTGGTCAGCGTATTCTAAGTGATGCCTTTTCTCAGCCAGCCAGCCAGCCTGAGTTATCGAAGACGCCTGGATTTCCCACATGTTTGTTTGTTCATCATCCTGTTTCCTCGGACCTCTTGACCTCAAAGGGCTCCTCCGTGCCTAGACGTCCCATGGCACAACACTGCGGGCCTCTGATCTTCCTTTTCACCGCCCCACCGCGTCTATTTCCTTACCTGTAGCACTCGTCACGGTTGTCGAACAATTCGCGCCTTCTGCGCAGCTTGCTCTCTCATCGCTTGTTATTGCCCCGCGCATGCTGCCCAGTTTGCTCCGCTGCCTCTCCGGGCTAATGGCTCAGGGCGTTGGCGCAGTGCCTGTGTGTGGGTCATTTGTAGCTCCGCTGGCACTTCATACTTTTTCGCCTGATCACTGCTGCAGGGCCATTCCAATGGGAAAGCCGACCACAAGCAAGTCATCCAGGCCTGCGAACCATGCCTCCTCTCGGCAAAGGGTGGGCATTCTGTAGCGCGGGGGTTTGCTGATATCGATGCTGATGTGAGTTTCGGGTTGCGGCCAGTTTGCTTACTACTGTCAACCCGCCTAGTAAGGATGGGCAACCTTCCCAAGGGTACCCTTGCATCCTTGTCCCTTCGGCCCATCTTTGGCCGCTTTCGCTGGCCGCGCCCCGCTCGCAGAGTGTCGACATGGCCTTCCAAGGCCCTTGCATCCTTTTCGCGCATCCTTACTGGGGACGTAACTGGCCGATGTTGGGCCCAAGCTCGCTCAGGCCAGGACAGGCAAGAAAGACAGTCGACGTCCCCCGGCTCAGCAGCAAGAGCCGCAGGCGGCGGCGACGACGATGATGGCGAAGGCAGCGACGACGACGAAGCCGACGACGACGAGGGCTCTTCCCTCCGCATTCCTGGCGAGGGCGACGACGAGGACGACCAGGACGACCATGACGAGGACGAGGACGACGACAGGCTCAGCTCTCACCGTCACCCCAGAGCGACCCCCGAGGGGCGGCCGCCCGCGCGGCCCGTCCCCCGGGGCGTCCTCGTCGTCGTCTTCGTCCGCCTCCTCGTGCTCCTCGTCCTCCTCCTTGTCGTCCTCGTCGTCCTCGTCCTCGTCCTCCTCGTCGTCGTCGTTGTCGGCGGCGGCGGCGGCGGCGTCGGCGTCGGCGTCGGCGTCGGCGTCGGCGTCGGCGTCGTCGCCCTCCTCGCCCTCCTCTGCGGAGGACGCCGGAAGCCGTCTCCTCCTCGTCCTCGCCTCAACTTCGGGCTTGAGGTGTTGTCCAGCTTTCCGCGAGGGGGTGAGGCGCAACGTTTGATGCCCAGGGCGCGGGAGGTCTGGTCCCTCGGTCAGCCCTCGCGGCCTTCCCGCGAGGGGGTCGGCTAAGGCGCCGCTCCCCCGTATCTGGTGCGGGATATCTGGTGGCCCCGTGGCACTCTGGCCCCTCCTGGGCCCTCCTCCTCCTCCCTTTTCTCCTCCTCTCCCCTCCCTGTCCTACCTTACTATCCTCCCCCATCCACCTCCGTTCCCCTCTCTCTCCTCCCATCCTCCCATCCTCTTCCGTCCGCCTCCAGCCACATCTTCTTCCTCCTCCGTCCTTCCACTCCCTTTGCTCTCTCTCTCTCTTGTCCTCCTCCCCCTTCCTCGCCCTGCTCCTCCTCTTCCCTCCGCCCTCGCGCCAGGTGCAGCGCTCAGCCTCCGCCCCTGGGGGGCGGGCAGAGCGGTGGCGGCCTCTGGGCCCTCCTCCTCCTCCTCCTCCTCCTCCTCCTCCTCCTCCTCCTCCTCCTCCCCCTCCTCCTCCCCCTCCTCCTCCTCCTCCTCCTGCTTCTCCTCCTCCTTCTCCTCCTCCTCCTCCTCCTCCTCCTCCTCCTCCTGTGGCCCCCTGGTGGCCCTCGCCCGTGCGGCTCCCGCGCGCTGACGAGACGGCCTTCCACGAATTCGCCCCGGGGCGCTGGAAGGCCAATCCCCACTCTCGGGGGCGGAAAAGAGGGGGGTGATGACTAGGGGGGGGTGGATATCATGGCGGGGGCCATGATATTTCCCCAGATTTCATGCCGCCTCTTCTTGTTTCATTACGTCCCCGGCCTCCCCGCTGGGCCGCGCACATGCCGCCGGTCATGATTTGCACGCCCCCCTCTTGGACACCCCCCTCTTGGCCGCTCCCGATACTCCAGATTTCGTAATAAAAGGGAGGGGGTCTCATTTCGGGGGGGGGCTCTCCCCCAGGCTATCCTGGAGGGCCTGGGGGGGGTCTGGGGACGATGTTTTGGAGGGTTCTCCCACGGGGGGGGTCTGAAATGGCTTGTCTTGAAGGGTCCAGACCCCCTCCCTTTTATTACGAGATCTGGAGTAGGCCTCCCAGGCAGGTCATCATCGTCGGAACCATCCCCACCCCCACATGGGGCAGGGTAAGTTGGCCGTCCCGGCGTATCCCCGTGGGGATGGGCGCTCCGAAGCGCGAAGGAGACGGCATTCATCCCCACCTAGGTGGGGCAGATTGCCAGGCGGGGCCAAGGTTTCCCCGGTGGGGGCGGAGGATCGCGCCGCATCGCCGATGCATCGCCGATGCGGCTCGATGCGGAGGCCGATTTTCTTCCACGCCGACGTCGCTGATGCATCGCCGACGTCGCCGGTGCATTGCCATCGGCAATGCGGCCCGATCCTCCGACCCCATCTGCTCAGACCCCATTTGGGTGGCCTCTGAGCTCGGGGCCCCCCACACGGTGCAGCGAGCACACCATGTTGCGAGCCAGTGGGGAAACGGGGTGGCGTCACGGTTTGGGTTTGAACTGTTCTCCGAGGATGCCGCAGGCGATTGAGGCCTCCAGGTTTCCAGAACCTTGCGACGGACGGTGCAGTAAGGTTTCTGGGGATTCCGAGGTCATCGCACGGTTTGTCACGGCACCGTTTCGCGGACCCCAGCGAACGGGCACGGAAAGAACGTGGACGAAGACCGACAGCAGTTCCTGCCCGTCCTGAGCAGGACTCGCCGTCGGTGTCGCCGCGGGCGCTGTCCGTCGGGGGATCCCTGGAGGCTCGTTTGGGGCCTATTTTGGGCCTCGTGGGGGTCTCCTTGGCCCTTTCGAGGGCCTTTTGGGCCGTCTTAGAGGCCGTCTTTGAGGCTTCTTTTGTGCTCTCTTTCGGTTTCCCAATGCCACCTTGATTCTTGATCGGAAGCGCCTCGGAAACAAAAGCAGGAGACCCTGTCATGGTTCACTGCTTTGGGATGGGGTTGGCTTCGCCTCGCTGGAGGCTCCCTTTGGGCGCCTTTTGGGGGCTTCGTGGCGCGTCCTGAAACCTCCTGGTGACATCTTGGGGCTTTTGGGCGGTCTTAGAGCCGTCTTGAGTATCGGGGCTGTCTGGTCCGACCTAGAGATCTTCTTGGAGTTCGCAGGGCTTTGGTCGGTCTTGGGGCGTCTTGGGGAGGGCGTATTTCTGGGCCCCTCGCCTTTGGGGGTGCGCCCTTTGAAAACTACAGACGCCGGCATTCCAGCGCCCCGTGACAGGTCATGATATTAGTTCTTTTCCTTTTAAAACCGTACGCCATGCACGTACCACCCGACCATCCCTCTACCGCGCACCCCCCACCCACCATCCATTTTTCACCCTGCCAGTCATCATTCATCATTCACCCACCACTCACGGATCATCCACCTCCCATCCACCTCCCACCCATCACCCACTTTCCCATCACCTTCCCACCACCCACCACCACCACGCACCTACCATCCACCCACCACCCGCTTCCCACTACCCCGCCCACCACCCGCTACCCATCACTCACCATGCACCACCCATCACGCACCGCCCACTCACCACCCTCGTACTCCCATGCTCAACACATCTGCAGCTTACCAACCGCCGTGTACGAGTGGCCTCTACGAGGACGACTGCCGCACTAACATCCATTCGCTGTTTTAGACCTTCCTGACGTGGCTTATCGAATCGCTTCCCCCATCCTGCCGGCCCGTATTGTGCCATTGTCGGCGTTTGCGTGCGCGTTTGTGGGTGGGAGTCTTCATGGATGCTTCTGGGTGTTTCTTCGGAGGGTTCTCGGGGAGCTCTTATGTAGTAGTTTCAAGGGCTCTTGAGGGCCTCCTGTGGGCGCCTTGGATGCCTCTTGGGGCTCTCTTGGCGCCTCTTGGGGGCCTCTTGGACCCTCTTGTGGGGGCTCTTGGGGGCCGCTTGCCTGGACGTCTCTTTGGGCCGAGGGCTCGAAAATCTCGTTCGGCTTCCTCCTTCTGGGCCCCCTCTTGGGGCCGTCCTGGGGCTCTCTCTGTCCGTCTTCGAGGCCTCTGGGGCCGTCTTGGGGCCCTCTTGGGCCGTGGTGCGGTTCTCTTGGAGGCCTCTTAGGCCGTCTTGGAGCTTTCGTAGGGGTTTCTTGGGCCGTCTTAGAGCGTCGGCGATATGGGGCTTCTTAGAAGTGGTATTGGAGGCATCTTCGGGCGTCTTGGAGGCGGTTGAAGCCGTCTGGAGGTTACCTTGGGCATCTTGGAACGACTTCCGGTGACTCTGGGCCCTCTTAGACCGCATTAGGGGTCTCTTGAGACGCTCTTTAAGGGCCTGAAGGGAGCCCTCAGGAGTTCTGGCATCCGTGACGGGGACCGCCCGGTGTCCGTGACGGGTACTTTTCGCCCGGGGACCCCCAGGGGCAGGCACGCGCGCGCGAATTAGAAGTATTCTAGAGCTGTCAGCAGAGATTTTAGCACGCCTTTGGCCCGTTGGGCCAGCGAATTTTACATTTTCAGTGGTGCGGTCACAATCGGCATGACATGTATTATTTGTTTGAGCATGCAATTGGGCCTTTGTCTCCTCATTAGAAAGAGCGTGTTCTACCGCTGCTGGCTGAAAACGGGGGGGGGGTCACTACCGGTTCGACCCCCCCCCCTCGAAAACCGGGGGGGGTGCGGACAGTGGTGGGGACGGTGGTGCTGGGACAGTGGTGAGGGGACAGCGGGACAGTGGTGGGGACAGTGGGACAGTGGTGGGGACGGTAGTGGTGGGGATAGTGGTGAGGACAATGGTGGGAACAGTGGGTACAGTGGGACAGTGGTGGGAACGGTGGTGGTGGGGACAGTGGTGTGGGGACAGTGGGAATGTGGTGGAATCAGTGGGACAGTGGAGGGTACAGTGGTGGTGGGGACAGTGGTGAAGGCGGTGGCGAGGACGGCGGTGGGACAATGGGACAGAGGTACAGTGGGGACACTGGTGGGGACAGTGGGGACAGTGGTGGGAACAGTGGGACAGCTCAATGGGACAGCGCAGGAGTCAGTGGGACAGTGGGGACAGTGGGGATAGTCGGGCAGTGGTTGGGGCCGTGGAGAAAGTGGGGAGAGTGGAACCGTGGTGGGAACAGTGGTGGGGACAGTGGGGACAGTGCGACAGTGGTGGGGGCACTGGTGGGGACAGTAGGGGCGGTGGTGGAACCAGTGGGGACAGTGGTGGTGAGGACAGTGGTGCTGGGAATAACAGTGGGGGATGTGGTGCGGACGGTGGTAGGGACCGGGAGTCGTTTGCTGGCGGCGGGGGGAGGGGGGGGAGGGGTTCGAACTGGTAGTGACCCCCCCTGGTTTTCGAGGGGGGGGGGGGTAGTACGTGACCCCCCCCCCCCGGTTTTCGAGGGGGAGGGGGGGGGGTGGTAGGGAGGGGGGGGGTTTTGCCGGGAGGGGAGGGGGGGGTTCCAGCAGGGGGGGGATTTTCGGAGGGGGTGGGGGCGGGGACCCCCGGGTTCCGGAGGAAGAGGGGGGGAATTTTCCAAAGTAAAGCGGCAGTGGATCACGCTCTCTCCCTCATTTTTACCTCGATGCCCACGCGGGAGGGCGCGTTCAAACGCTTTGAAACCACGGTCGTGCGAGCGGGGCAGTGATGGATATTGTTAATGGAAAGCTCCAGGTGAACACCGTAAGGATGAGGTCGCTCCCTCGGGTTCTGAGCTGGTCGATGTGAGACTGTTTGCTCAGCGAAGATGCGAACATGTCAGTGGCGCTTTCAAACGCCGTCGGACCCCAGGGGACCTCTTGCGGCCACAGCCACACCTCGGAATACCTACCTCCCCCCGTCTGCGCAGTGCCCCTGCCGCCGTCTGCGGTGCATCTTCGAAGTGTGACGGGAGGCGCCATGGAGGCATGGTGCTGGCTTGTGTCATGCAGCCACCCCGCGCCTCCCCCACCCTGGCCCTCTTTCCGCTCCGATCCACCCTGCGCCTGTTCGCTCTGCTCCGCTCTGTCTCATTCTGGGCGGGGCCAGGACTGGGACACAGCTCGTTCCAGAGCTTCTCCGGAGCGCTCTCCCAGCGCTCCCCGGAGCGCTCCGAGACATCGGCCGCGGCGCCCGACACGCCCTCCGGGAGCGGCAGGCTTCGGAGCTCCCCGATGTGTCCCGGGCGGATTTTGCCCCCGTCTCATCACTACCCATCGGTCGTTGAAAGTAGGTATTTTTGGATTCCCAGATTCCAATCTACTTTGAGCGCCTTCCTACTTCAAGAGTCGAGGGGGTTTCCCTCTTCCCTCCTCTTCAGGAGGCGGGCGGCACCCCAATCTATTTCCAACGCCTTCCTACTTCATGTTTCTACCTACTTCTTCCGACCGATGGGTACCCCCACTGGCCACCGAACCTCTCCAACCCGACCCGAAGGCCGCGATTTGCCGTCCATTTCCAGTGGTAGCCCCCCCCCAACTCGACATATTGGGGTCTTCGGGTCGGGTCGGGGTGGTCTGGCAGGCAGTCGTCCCCTCCCCCTCCACGCGCTCCAAGCGGCCCCCGCGAGCACGCCGCCCCGCGCTGCCCAGGGCCGAGAGCGGGGGCGAGGCGGGGTGGCTGAAGCGGAGGTTCTGCATGTACCAGCTGCAGGGCATCTGCGCGCGGCCTAGGCTGCCGCTCCGCGCGGGCGGGCAGGCGGCGAGCAACGAGCGAACCGCCCTCCCTCCTCCCTCCTCCCTCCTCCCTCCTCCCTCCTCCCGAGTGACTTGCACACCTCCCCCCGAACACGTGGACCGCTCGAGACATCCCCACACTCTCGGCGCAAACGGGTCCGTGATGCATCCTCTGGCGCCCTCCCCCCCCGCTCTCCCCCCCCCGCTGGAGTGGGGGGCTCGGCCCGACCGCGAGAGAGCGCAGGGATGCACCATCTGCAGCTCCTGGCCTGTGTTGCCCTCGCTCCTATCTGTTGTCCTGCCTCCCGGCCTCACGGCTCCTCCCGTCGCCCCCCTGTTCCCTCGGTCTTTGGCTTCCCTCCTCATGGCTCTCTGGTCCCCCTGTTTCCCCCCCCCCTCCCCCCTTCCCCTTCCTCACGGCTCATGCCTCCCTCGGTTCTCCTTGTTCTCCTCCTCCTCCTCCTCCTCCTCCTCCTCCTCCTCCTCCTCCTTCTCTCCCCTTGGAAGCGGGAGGCTGCGAGGATGACTCTGGGCCGTTCTTGCGCGGCGCGACGCGCGATCTGGGCCAGATTCGTGGAGGGGGTTCCAGGCGACTGCACCAAGGGGGAGCTAGCGTCCGCGTGCGTGCGCGGCGGCAGCGGTGCGGCGTGTCGCGAAGAAGGGCAAATTGGGACGGTGGGAGACTGTAAACGAGGTTTAAGGAGAGGCTGTGTAGCGAACGCCATATCCGACGCTGTCTTGGCTCAAGGCAGCGCTGTCCTATTTGCTAGTTGCACGTCCGCGTGCGACTCTATGGGGATCATAGCATTGGACAAGAGCCACGTCTATCTACGATCCGCCCCTCTATCCCTCTCGTCTTGCTTGCCAACAAGGGATGAGCTGTGGGATACTTCGATGCATCGCCGATGCCATCCTAAGAGTAGGGCTCTCAGCTTGTTACCTCATGATCAAGCCCAGCACCCTTGTTTCTCATTTGGTAGCGGAGCTGGCTACATCTTCATGTGGCTGGCTCTTATATCAGGTGTTATGTGCATATCATCTTACCACGGCACAGTGGAGTACCCGACTGCGCCGGCTCTTAGCCACTGCGCCCCGAATGTTCTCGAACCAGTAGGTAACCTACAGTCCTATACCTCCATCTCCCCACCGCATGGCCACACGCCGCGCACAATTCAAACACCGATACTTATCCGCAATTTGACGGCCACGTCAGACCAGACACCCAGTCGGAACCCAACGGACGCGACAATGTTCAATGATAGGCAACCCTTCATCATCAGCCCCAACATGAACATGCGCTGTGTTAAGGTCGCCATATGTGGAATTATCATGGTATGTCTGGGCTTTGCCGTGGCATGCATGCGAGGAGGAGAACTGGATGAAACACGCACTCGAGGTCCCTTCTGGGACCCCGCGGGCAACGCACCCTTTCGCGACTTTGTTCGCGAAGTACACGTGCACGAATGGTTCAACGTCACAAGCGGAAACATGACTCCACCTCAACAGGCCGCCGCTTTGCAGCGCGGTCTAGGAGGAGTGGCTAGGACACTAGCCATGATTGTGCCATCCACCATCATCAAGTATGGTGCAACGTTACGAAGGATACGCACCGACGGAATCCCCTACATCATCTCATTACTAAGCACTACTTGAGGACGAGCGACAGCTCACTTCGGGGACAGCCCTCATCGACTTTAGGGTCGATAGAGGCGAACGCATTGATTCATTCTGGCCCGATTCGAGATGGCCAGGCTGGAAGCAGACCCAGTAGGCTTTAACATTCCCAACTACAGATCCTCATTCTGATCTTAATATGTGCCTCGGGGGGTGGCCTTCCCCGAGCGGCACAGCTGCCGCCGCCGCTGAACCATCATATGCCCCAGGCGCAACAACAGTACGACCAGCTCCTGGATCGAATGCGCAGCCATGGACGCTTGGCTGAGCGCCCCGCAGGCAGCATCGGGAGCATCTTCAGCGGGCGCAGCGCTGGCATTTACCACGCCGAGATAAGTGACACACCGGCAGCCATGCCGGATAGCATCCGGAATAACGGGGAGCCCACTTGAGTCCACTACGCTTCTAGACCAAGACGCCAACAATAACAACGAATAGGCGTCTGGCTCAAACGTGGGCGGGCCGTCAGCGGCCAGCTGCACATCACCCGAAACGACTACCCTTTGGGGCTCACCCAACCACGATTTCTAGAACACCCAGGGAAGGTCTACCCTAGGCCTACCTCCATGGCCTACCCCCAGGCCTACCCTGGGCCAACCAACCCCTAGGGCCTACCCCTAGGCCTACCCTAGGCCTGCCCATAAGGCCTCCCCCTAGGCCTACCCGAGGCCTCCCCCTAGGCCTCCCCAAGGCCTAACCCCCAGGGCCTACCCTTCGGACCAACCCTTCGGGCATACCCTTCGGGCCTACTCCTGGGCCTACCCCTAGGGCCTACCCCCAGGGACTACCCCCAGGGCCCACCCCTAGGCCTACCCTGGGCCAGCCCTTAGGGCCTACCCCTAGGCCTGCCCTAGGCCTACCGTTCGGCCTTCCCCCTAGGGCCTACCCCTAGGGCCTACCCCTAGAGCGTGCCCCTAGGGTTACACCTAAGTCACCCCTTGCGGACTATCCCTAGGCCTACTCTAGGCTCGCGCTAGGCCTGCGCTAGGCCTCCCCCTAGTGCCTGCCTTAGGCCTACCCCTAAGGCTTACCCGTAGGCTTACCCCTTGGCCGACCCCAGCGTACCTGTAGGGCCTACCCTAGGCCTACTCCCAGGTTTACCAAGGCCGACCCCCAGGACCTGCTTTTGGAGCAACCGTCTAGGGCTTACTTGTGGCTTGCGCCCGGGAGGAGGAGGAGGAGGAGGAGGAGGAGGAGGAGGAGGAGGAGGAGGAGGAGGAGGAGGAAGAGGAGGAGGAGGAG